AGTCTATGAAGACATTACATAAGAGTTAATAAATCGATAGAGTCAACACTAGTTAGTTCATTGCTCTCAAAGAAATGAGTCTCAGCAGACATTAGTGGAATCATAGATTCCGCATCCGTTCTAAAGCAGAATACATATTTTAGTTTATGTCCAAAGAGCACAGAGGCCAAAGCACATTTCGTTTCTTGAATTCAGTAGCCAGTTCCGTCCGCATCTCATCTTCTATTGCTCAGCTGAAATATGTTGACTGGCCCTCCAGCAACCTTTGAAGTTACTGTAAATAAAATTTGTATTTACTAAGAAGGGAGAAGGTGGAAGGGATCTTTGGAACATGAAAGTAGGTGAAAGTTTGATTTTCTACTTTCCCTGTTGGTATAAATGGGGAAAAAAAATATGTATAGGACTTGATTTCAGTAACTTTTCCAAGGGGGTGGTCTTAGTTAAATGAAAAAATAAATGTTATTTATATTTATAATATATATTTACTGTTGACATACATTACTAATCTATTGATCATCATAATTTTAGAGTCTTGTTATTTTTTATCATTAACATTTTCTGCTACAAAATGGAAGATATTGTGTGTTGCAAAAGATTGTGTCTTTTAAAAACATAGATATAGAAATTATAAAAAATAAAAATGAAGAACCTTTCCATGACTGAATAAATAGCATAAAAATGTATACTGTACTTTCATATTAATGACTTATATGAATAAATAGAAATTTTAGGTCGTATTAACTATACTTTACTTTTAAGCTAGAAGGAATTAAAACATGGTGTTTTACAAAATTATCATTTATGAGTCCAAATACATTTAATAACTTAAGTTGAATTTTTTACATGCTACATCATTTTAAATTTTAAAAATTATTTTAGAAATACCTTCTCAAGGCTTGGTAATTTTTTCTCATGAGAAAAAGAAAATAAGACTATTTACTGTAAAATTTATTAGTTATTAAAAAATACAGCTATGTTGTGAGTTAACGTAAAAATTTCTAAGAAACCAAATTTAGTATCCAAAGGCATTTTTTTGTAATTGTCTTAATAGTCTTATCATTGCTTAAATAGTGACAGTAAAGATTTCCCCCATTTTGTTTTTTGTAATGAATTTTAAACAATACTTTGTTTAAAACAAATACATTTTTTTCATGCTTTGATTGCACAACTGCTAATGATTTCCAAGTTTCAGGGCTGTCGCTTGGTGTGATTTCAGCTCTTATACCCAGGTTGGTCTTTGCTTCAGTTTGCATTGCACAATTTCTCTATTCAATTTTTTCAGAATATTTATTACTACCAGCCCTTCCATCTTCCCTTTACCCACTCATTCCTTCCCTCCAGGATTTGCCTTGAAATGATCACCTCTTTATTATCTCAAGGCAGATGATCAAAATGACATTTTACCAAGTTGGGGGCTCAGGCTAATATATTTTGCTGAATGAACATGAAAGAAGTAGGTAACTTCTTTACCCTGCAGGAACGTTCATCTGATGAATTACTCAGGTTTTATAATTTCTTCGTCTCTATTTCACTTTGTTCTTAGAAAAGCCTTTGGGAACATGTTTTAACCAAGTCCCACGTGCAAGGAAGTTTGCAGGAGGGACCCCATTTGAGCATGGGCTGGGTGGCTGCAAATAACTGGTGCTCTGCTTACAGCCTGGAAGGAGGGATACACACTGTATATTGTTCCTTTCCTATTAGATTGTTCAGATCCCATTCTGTGGGGAAATTGACTGTGAAGACTGGATCAAGAAGACCACGGCCAGGTAAGTGCAATGAGCAGATAAGACGTGGGAGGTGAGGCTGTGAGAAAGGAGAGACATGCACAGCTTCAATGAATGGAATTCTTGTATGTTTTAATTTCAGGGATCAGGACCTTGAACCTGGTGCTCCATCCATGGGAGCCAAAAGCCTTTGCATCCCCTTCAAACCACTCTGTGAGCTGCAGCCTGGAGCCAGATGCGTGTGCGGCAAGAACCCTGCCAAGTACTACACCTTGTTTGGGCGTAGTTACTGAGGACAAAGCCACGGCCCTATCTCCAACCCTCTGCACTTTTTAAAAAATTGATACTAATATCTTCCCAGATACAGAGTTTTATGATTTTTTAAAAATAAAACTTCAAAAAGGAGGTCACATGAGATAAACACTGTTCTTATGTCTCAAGTAACAGTGGAAAAAAAGACTTTTCTGTAAACCACCCCAGTAATAAATACCATGAATTCATTCGTTTTATGTATTCGTTCGTTTCTAAAGTATTGGAGTTACGTACTACAGTTCGTAGGAAATTCCTACGAAGAGATGAAAATATCCTCTATTCGTAGGAATTTCCTGAAGCTTCTGATGAGAAGAACAAGATGCAGAAAAGCTTGAAGTTGGCTGCTTCAAAGGAATTCATTATTTAAAGGAACTCCACAGTACGTCAGTATGTGAAGGGCAGGCATCTTTTACCCCAAATCTACATGTGATAAGAGGTAGACTTTTTTCTTTAAATCGAGATTCAGCTAAAATATCAAAACTTTCCAAACATCTGAGAAGAGGTGGTGCTTTTCCAGAGGATGCAGAAGCCTGCGGCCAAACAATGTCCGTTAGGAAAGGGCACTGTTTTGCTTGCAGATGACAGCCGTTCATGAAGATACATGACTGGCACTCCCAGTCATGAGTGTGTGCCTAGTGTTCACTGCAGTAAAAAGAAAACCAATAGGCCAGGTATATTTGCTAGAATTGGATAGTAACAGCATGTTGCAGGGGGAGACAGGTCATTAACAAAGACCTGCCGATGAACTGGTAGAGGAGTGAGCAGGTAGGCTTCCGTAGTATGGGTGGGCCTCGTTCAATCAGTTGAAGGGCTGAGCAGATCCTCTGGATTCTTCCTCCTGCCGACTGCCTTCTGTAGTGGAGAGGCATTGGGTCTTGGCATCAGCAGCAGAAAACGCTCCATAAAAGAGTGAAGAGAAGGCATTTGACTGGAGAGTCTGGGCATAGCAACCTACATGTATCTCTCTGAAATCCATAAAAATGTATTTAAAAAAGAAAACACCTGCTGAATGAGTGAGTTTCTTACCTCCTTCAGGTGTTTACTTGAGCATCTCAGTAAATTCTTCCCTGATCACTTTATTTAAAGTTACAACTCCACCCCTACGCCAACACTCTGTCCTTCTCTGCTTCATTTGTCTCCATCTTATTACCACCTGACATTCAATACATTTTATGACTTATTTTGTTAATGATCTGTCTCCCCCCACTAGACTGTAAGCTTCATAAAGGCACGGATTTTTGTCTTACTCGTTGTCTTCCCCAGAGCCTACAACTGTGTGTGACATGTAGGTACTCAGTATTTGTTGCATGAATGGATGAGATCTGGGTGCGATTTGATACACAACCTGGTTGTATTAGAAATCTGGAGATGAAGGATGAGATGCTAAGGAAACCATTAGGGCTACATCTAAGTTGTGAGGATTTAGGTCTAATTGAATGTATTAGAGTTTTCCAGATAAACAGAACCAAGAGGATGGGTGAATAAATAGAGATTATACAGAATTTCGGTTATGGAGGCTGAAGAGTCCTGAGATCTGCAGGGTGAGTCAGCAAACAGGAAATTCAGGAGAGTCTAGGGCAGTGGTTCTCAACCTTCTGGCCCTTTAAATACAGTTCCTCATGTTGTGACCTAACCATAAAATTATTCTCGTGGCTACTTCATAACTGTAATGTTGCTACTGTTATGAATCGTAATGTAAATATCTGATATGCAGGATGGTCTTAGGCGACCCCTGTGAAAGGGTCGTTCGCCCGCCAAAGGGGTCACGACCCACAGGTTGAGAACCGCTGGTCTAGGGGATGGTTTCAGTCTGAGAGCCACTGGCTTGAGACCTAGGAAGGGCTAATGTTTCCATTCAAGCCCTGCATCTCAGCTTGAAGGCACTCAGCAGGAGGAATCTGGACGGTCTGTGTCTCTTCAGGCCTTCAACTGATTAGATGAGGCCCACCCACACTGGAGGGCAATCTGCTTTATTCAGTCTTCAGACTCAAATGCTAATCTTATCCAAACACCTTCACAGAAAACAACAATGATCAAATGTCTGGGCACGTGGTGGCCCAGTCAGATTGACACATAAAATTAACCATCACAGAATTTAAATTCAGGAAACGCTGGGAGTAGTCATTTCAGTCTCATTTCTTTTAAAGGATTGGCTGTAGGCAGGCTACTCAAAACAATAGAGGCCGCTATTGTTTTACGTATTCAGGACCCAGCAAACCTTTGAGTGTGACAGGTGATAAGATTAAAAACAAAAGGATTTCCTTGTCTCAGTGAAGTCATTATAATTTGGCTTTCTTCCTGAAATGACTGGGGTCATGTCTGTAGCTCCTCCAGTTTAAAGGTGTTTTATCTTCCCTGACCATGAGGAATTTTTTTATTTTTGGGGTCTTATTTGGGAGAACGTGTGGAAGTAGGTGCTTGTGTATTCCCGATCAGCACTCAGGCAGTGGAAAACTCCCCCTCGCTTCACGTTTGGGTTTCACTTACGGTAGCTATGATCCAGAGTGTCCCCTGACCCAGGCGGTGGACAGCACTCAAAACTGCACACCAGGGTGGACAGGATCTGATGGCCTTTGTCAACCGACTTGTCTCCCCGGTGACTGTGAGTGGAAGCTGCGAGGGCTGAAGCCACCCGTGAGCCACTGTGTGATTGGAAGACACAGAGACTCCTGACTTCTGGGATGAAACACAGCAACAAACAAATTCCTCCAGTCCCGTGTCCGTATCTGAGGCCGAGCCTTCCCTTTCCACAGTCCCAGCTCACATGACATCTCCCGTTTAATTGCCCTTTAAACTGCTTTATGGCTTTATGGCAGCCTATAAAGGGTGATTTCCAAATCTGACAAGCGCTGAACGGCCGAAGGGGAGAGTTTTCCAGGAGCTGTAATCTCAAGATCGGTAGCTGCTCCTTTCGGAGCTCGGCCTTCCCGGGAGAGGAAGGAGAGGAAGAGGCCAGCCGGAGCCATGGGCCGATACTCCGGGAGGAGCTTCCGCCTCGTCTTCATGTGCGTGGTGAGCATCCTCCTGTTCGTGATGGAGCTGGCGGTCGCCCACATCGGCAACTCCCTGTCCTTGGCCTCGGACGCCTTCGCCGTCCTCTCCCACCTCCTGTCCATGGTCATCGGCCTGTTCAGCCTGCGGGCCAGCACCATCACGCGCCACAGGAGGAGCACCTTCGGCTTCCTGCGGGCCGACGTGGTGGGAGCCTTTGGCAACTCCATCTTCGCCGTGGCGCTCATGTTCAGCATCCTGGTGGAGGCCATCAAGAGATACATCAACCCCCAGAAGACGGAGGAGGCGCTGCTGGTCCTGTTGGCTGGGATTATCGGGCTGTTCTTCAACGTGCTCAACTATGTCATCCTGGACTGTTGCTACTGCTCAGCTGGCCGGCCCCCGGAGGACCCGGGCACAGGTAAACCCTGCAGGTGGGCAGGCAGTGTCCTGGGCTCTTGGTGGTTCCGGTCCTGGAGGGGGGGCCTCCTCCGATGGGGCCATGGAGGGGCCTCTTGTTCCCCTGACTTTGCCAAAGAGTCGCCTCCAGGCCGAAGTCCCCTGTGAGCAGGGTGGCAGCCGGCCACCTCCATCGTGAGGGTCTGCTTTCACGTTTGGTGACAGGGAAGGGAAAGGGGTCCAGGCAGGTGGAGAAAGGGAGGGGAGGTGCTGACCGCAGCCACGGAGGAAGCGATGACAAGGAAGGTGGACGTGGCGTTGAGAACAGTCTCCTTTAATGACTGACGTCTGTTTACCCAGATATGGCCTGGCTCTGTTTGACTTTAAAAAGAATGTCTTAGTGTCCCCATAAAGTATGTTTAGAAAGCACTGGACTCTATAGCCAGCACAGGTAGAGAAAGTGTGGAACAATTGGCTGGGATGGTGAACTCGGGAAGATGTTCAAGGAACGTTCAGTAACATGGAGAGGGAAAAGAAGGAGCTGGCCTAGTAAACTTAGCTCTTTTTTTGGTGGAACGATCTGTACGTATTTCTAAATCTGTCCTGTTTGAGAAGAAGGAGAACTGTGTACGTGGATCTTTGGGGGGTTTCAGAGTGGGTAGCAAACTTACTGGATCGTTGGTCAAAAGGTGGGATTTTAAATCTTGCAATAAACCTAAAACAATCCACAAGATAAATTACCAGCTAGAGCCATGTGTTTACTGCCATGAGAGGAATTCTTTTAGAAAAATATGAAAGCCCTAGCAGAAGAGAAAATTCCAGTGCTTTTAAAAGGAGGCCTATGGCGTGAACAGACCAGGTTCAAGGCACGGCTCTACCGCAGGGCAGGGGTCCGGTGTCATTGCCAGCCTGGGTGCCCACCCGTCGTGTGGGGGTCACAGGAGTAATGAGATTCCGAGCCTTTAGCAGTTAATAGGCACTTGGTGAAGAATACGATGGTTTTTCAAAAAATCAAACAATGCAAGCCTTTGAATTAGGTGAAAATCCAGTACTGTTGGGTTATAATGGCTCATCTGGATTTTAAGAAATTTCGGGATTTTCCTTACTGGATGCTGGTCAGTTTTCTCTCACGAGCTGGGGCATTATCTCGCCTGGGGAACCTGAGTCTCCGTTTGCACTTTTTACTGTATTCCTCTTGTCTTTGCTGCTACTGTAGGTTATGTCGGCTGGGCCCAGTTCTTTTCCTATTTTTGTCTAAAATTTCCCACTGGTGGAATGCATGTTTTGAGAGCACCTATAGTAGGTGTTAAGTATAAAAGGGAACAAACAAGAAACTAGAGTCTATATCTTTATTCAGACTAAGGAATCAATCAGGGCCCATCTTTTGACCTTGTGCCTTGTTTACATCAGTCATAGAAAGAATTACTACTGGAGTATCCACATCATAAAATTCACATATTTTATAATATATATATATTTGTTGCTAACTATAAATAAAGGTAAGAAAGCTCACATCAAACAAGTGCTCCTACAGACAACAGAAGTGTCACCATTACTAAACGTTATGTTTTTAGTTCCAATTTGTCTTTACTCTCGACATATTTTTCTGCACATTACAAAAGCATTTTAGGCAAAGGGTTTGACTCTGGCCAACAGGAGAATTGGTAGATAACCATAGTGTTTTTTTTTAATAAATCGGATTATTATTGGATAGGTCTTAGTTCGGCTCTTGTCTGTGTCCATGCTAACATAATAACAAGAGACTGAAGACAAATATTCGACCCTGACCATATGGGTTTCTCTTGTCTTAGTTCTAAAGCAGCGGTTCTCAACCTGTGGGTCGCGACCCTTTCACAGGGGTCGCCTAAGACCATCCTGCATATCAGATATTTACATTACAATTCATAACAGTAGCAACATTACAGTTATGAAGTAGCAATGAAAATAATGTTATGGTTGGATCACAACATGAGGAACTGTATTTAAAGGGCCAGAAGGTTGAGAACCACTGTAAAACCATCTGTCTTCTTTTGAAGTGTTTGATGCTATACAGTATTCTACCTTAAATAACTAAGTGTGCCCTGCCTGGTTTGGCTCAGTGGATAGAGCATTGGGCTATGGACTGAAGGGTCCCAGGTTCAATACCGGTCAAGGGCACATGCCTGAGTTGCGGGCTTGATCCCCAGTGGGGGGGAGGGGGGGCGGGGTAGAAGGCAGCTAATCAATGATTCTCTCTCATGATTGATGTTTCTATCTGTCTCTCTTCCTTCCTCTCTGAAATCAATAAAAACATATTTAACAAATAAAATACAATAAGTATTTTATTTGTTAAGTGCAATAAGAACTACACACATACAGCTAGTGCTTTAAGGTTCATGTTCATTTTGGTAGCCTTAGGTATTGTTGAATTTTTCTATTAGGAATCTTAGAGTATTTAAACCCTCTGAGTAATTTTAGGATAGCTAGTTAGCTTCTTAGCATTTATGTCTCAAGGTATTCATCACTTTTACCAAAACATACATTTAAGAAAATACTCTTTTAACCACCTAAAGAAGCTTACAGTAAAGAGTAAACATTTGGGTTGGATGGATCTCAAAAACTGCCATTAACCCAAATTCAGTTGGCTTCTATTCCAGGAAGAAATCTAATCAATCCATACATACTGATTTCTACTAGGAGGTTTCAAATAGGAGGGAAAAATGATCGTTGGCTTCAAAAGACTTGATGTAAACGTAGGATAAAGAACTTCTGTATGTCTAGAATCCTGGCTTGAAGTATCGTGTGAAGTGCCTCTCAGCTAGAGAACTGTGGTACCTCCTGGTTTAGTGATCGGAGTCAGGGAATCGTCATTTCTGTGAAACCTGTGGCCGGAGAGAGTTTGTGACTTAGCAAGCCTTCCGCCTCCCCTGCTTCTGTGGACCATGTACTTGTCTATCTGGTGCAGGAGTTGCTGAAACCGGTTATCTTTCATGTTTGAGGTCCTAGAAAAGTAAAAAAGAAGACCACCAACTTTAAGTTAAATATTAACATCACAGACTGTATATACAGTTGAGACTTTAAACATCCCTGGGACTCATGGAGTAAATTCATTGGAGAATCCGACAGACCAACCAGACATTTTTAAAAACACCTGAGAGAGCCCAGCCGGTGGGGTTCAGTGGTTGACGGTTCGATTCCTGGTCAGCGTGCATGCCTGGGTTTCGGGCTTGATCCCCATTAGGGGGTGTGCAGGAGGCAACCGAACAATGATTCCCCCTCATCATTGATGTTTCTATCTCTCTCTTTCCCTCTCCCTTTCTCTCTGAAACTAATAAAAATATATTTAAAAAAAAATAAGAACACCCGGGAGAAAACAATATCTGGAAGATTTCCCTGAGACGAGAGAGCCTAGACCGGTGATGGCGAACCTTTTGAGCTCGGCGTGTCAGCATTTTGAAAAACCCTAACTTAACTCTGGTGCCGTGTCACATATAGAAATTATTTGATATTTGCAACCATAATAAAACAAAGATTTATATTTTTGATATTTATTTTATATATTTAAATGCCATTTAACAAAGAAAAATCAACCAAAAAAATGAGTTCGCGTATCACCTCTGACACGCGTGTCATAGGTTCGCCATCACTGGCCTAAACCAATTCCCACCAGTGTGAGTTCCCCCTTGACACACAAAATTGATGGCGAAGCAGGAGTTTGGGGCTAAAGTGAAGGCAACAGGAAAAAAGCAAAAACTGCAAGCAGGAAAGAAAAAACAAACAAAATAGATTTAAAGTCCAACATGTGGGTGGCTCTGTGTGCTATGTTTGGGGACGGGAAGGGGGGACCAGCATTCCTAGGGTTCAGACCGTGGGGAGGAGGTGGCCCCGCTAGTTCCTTTCCCTGGGCCGAGGGACTAAAGGTGCTTCGTGTCTGTGCTTTCCTCCTCCTTGTTTACTTTACTTAGATTTCCTGTCTTTTCATGTTGGTATTTTATTTTGGATAATTTTCCAGGCTTGGGTTTTATTTGAAATGTCACCAGTAGATCTCTCCATGTCCTTGACTCGTACCGGAACAGACACCTCGCTGTGCCTTGGCCTTTATCTTAAAACAAAAGTATGGCCGAAACCGGTTTGGCTCAGTGGATAGAGCATCAGCCTGCGGACTGAAGGGTCCCGGGTTCGATTCCGGTCAGGGGCATGTACCTGGGTTTCGGGCACATCCCCAGTGGGAGATGTGCAGGAGGCAGCTGATCGATGTTTCTCTCTCTCTCCCTTCCTCTCTGTAAAAAATCAATAAAATATATTTAAAAAAAAAACACAAAAAAAAACAAAAGTATGTGTGCAGGTCCATCGGGGGTAGCACAGGCTTCCCATTGGTCGAATTTATAAATGACAGATTGACATCGGAAATATTTGTTTCTTTTATTATTTATGTATATATGTATGTGTATTTTTACAAAATGCCTTTCCTCCGATTTCATTTGTTACTTTTGTTTTGACTCCAAATCTTTTTTTTTCTTTATTGATTAAGGTTTTGCTTATGTGTCCTTATCCCACCATTGTCACCCCTCTCCCCCCCACCCCCCCCACCCACCCCCCGCCGTTCATGCCCTCACCCGCCTGGTGTCTGTGTCCATCGGTTAGGCTTATATGCATGCATACAAGTCCTTTGGTTGATCTCTCCCCCTTACCCCCACCCTCCCCTACCTTCCCTCTGAGGGTTGACGGTCTGATGGATGCTTCTCTGTCTGTGGATCTGTTTTGGTTCATCAGTTTATGTTGTTCATCATATTCCACACATGAGTGAGATCATGTGATATTTATCTTTCTCTGACTGACTTATTTCGCTGAGCACAATGCTCTCCAGGCCCGTCCATGCTTTTGCTTTCTCTCTCTCCGTGTCTGGTAAACACAACACATCCTTTACCAGGGAGTGACATTTATCATACTCCTGCCTACTCCAGAGTTTATAAATTTCCATGATATTCTAGGCTCGAAATTTTAAAAAATTATATATGATTTGATTGATATTGGAGGGAGAGA